GAAGGCGAGGTGATTATCGGTGAATAAAAACCGAGACGAAGTCGAGGTTTTTATTCACGATAATCACCGAGCCTGAGGTGAATAATTGTTTTAGTATAATTTCATAGGTGATTATTTGGAAAAAATAAGAAAATACACATTTCTTCGTCATTTAATTGACAAAAAGGCTTCGGCCGCCATTTTGAAAATCGCTTTGGTGATTATCGCGTAATAATCACCTCAACGGCAACCAATCAGCGTGGAGAATTTTCAATAATCACCTATGTAATTGTACTAAATATATATATATATATATATATATATATATATATATAGATATATATATATATATATATATATATATATATATATATATATATATATATATATATATATATATATATATATATATATATATATATATATATATATATATTTGACTGGGTGGTCATCCTCACTGATCTCAAAATATGTGGCGGACTGTCATGAATAGCGAACACTGATTGGTCCAATTTAAAGTTTGCATTATAACGACTGCATGACGACAGCGAAATAGCAAACATTTCTTGATTTGATGATTGATAAATTTCTTGCAAATATCACAAATATATTTCATTTTCGCTCGCATTTTTGCAAGATTTTGTAAATTTCAAGAAAGAAAGGGCGAAAGAATCTGCTAAAAGAAGTGAGCCGACGTTAACGAAGGTAAGTTTGTTTTAAATATTGATTTTATAATGGATTTGATTTTATTATTAATTTAATTTAAAACCCGACGGCCTTTGCATATATGAAACAACTAAGCAAGACAGCATATTATTTCAGTGTATCTTTACTGGTAATATTGATTCCCTTTTTTATGATATTGAATTTTTTAAATAAAAAAGAAAGCAGAGTTATTTGCAAGCGAGAATTTGAAGTCATTTTATTGCAAACTCAAAGTTTATCGATAAAGCCGTTTTAAAAGGCAGTTTAGTTTTATAAAGAACACTAGTGACTTTAAAACGTTTTGCGAAGCGTTTGTGGTTGAATTTTACCTTAAATTGAGGCTTATATTACGTATAATAACATACCTAACATATATATGTTGGGGAATTAATACTTTTGTAATTAAAAGTGATATTTTTTAGGCGATTTTTCATTTGTAAGAATATTCTTAAAAAATTATTGTGTTACCATGACAACTACTTCAGATACTTCATGTTCGGAAAATACAATGGTTTTGTCTGTTTGTCAGCAAGGCGAGGGTTTCTGCATGCATGTATTTTCTAGTATAAATATTATGCATGCTTGCATGCATGTTATTGTTTGTCAATTTGACAACTTTCTGATATTCTGCGCGCACTAACGCACTGTCATATCCTTATATGGTATTTATGTGACAGGACATGGTAATTAAGTTTTACTAATTATGTATATATAGGCGTGCATGAATATATTATGTTATACAGTATAACATATTAAGCCTGATTTCCACTAGGCGGAATTTTGCGCGCGGAGCGGAATTTTTCTTTGTCTTGTGATTCCTCAGGTGGAACTAATTAGAAAAGACAAAGAAAATTTCCGCTTCGCGCGCAAAATTCCGCCTAGTGGAAATCAGGCTTAACACTTGGTCGAGTAAAAAGCAAAAATAAAAGCATTCAGATATACGACGATATTACAGTGGCGACGAGGATAAAAAGTTAAAGTTTTAAACATGGATGAGTCAGAAGAAGGTTCAAATTCAGCAGCAGTAACGAGTTCGACAACAACGCCAACTCCAATGTCTGCCGTAAACAACATCCCTCGAAGTGGTTTGCCGCCGTTTGATCCGCACAGCGATCGAGCAAGTCTTGCTGTACGGTGGAAGAAATGGTCTCGAAGATTCGAAAATCTGTTGATTAGCTTATGAGAGTTCGATCCAGTTGTTGGACGTGGTCTATTACTCACATATGTCGGAGAGGCAACAAATGACATATTCGATACGCTTCCTGACACGGGAACAAACTACGACAGCGCTTTGAAAAGTTTAACCGAATACTTTGACAGTTTGACCCTGTACGAAATCAAGACATGGCAATCTACGAATTAAGACAGATAAAACAAGAAACTAACGAAACAATGAACAATTTATATAGAAGTTTAAAAGAAAAAACAGATATCTGTGAATTTACCGACGTAGACTCTGAAATTAGAACTCAAATTATTCATACAATGTCTGACTCGAGATTACGGCGAAAAGGGCTTCGAGAACAACTAGATTTAAAAGCTCTTCTCGCGTACGGTTCGATGTTGGAAAAGACGGACATGAATGCTAAATTACTAGAATTGAACAAAATCGGGAGTCTAACCAATCAACAAATCACCTTTCAGATCGACCTCGCCATCGAAAACCACAGCGCCTTTTCCAAGCACGTCAAAACAACGACGCCGATCAAGCACGTAAACAGGGAGAACACAATCAAAGTTCAAGAGAGTGTCGCAATTATGGGGGACCATTCCCGCACAAAGAAGGCAAGTTGTCATGCCCAGCCAGAGGAAAAAAATGTCATGCGTGTGGGAAATTAGGACATTTTGCAAAACATTGTTTGTCAAAAGCACAACAAAGTCACCAAGGTCACAGACAAAGTTCCAGGAAAGAAGTAAATGAAGTCACGCAAACACGTCAGGACTACCTCGACGATACAGATGAAGAATTTGCCTATGTAATCAACTCAAGCACTAAACCGCCAGAGACAAGAATCACAGTCGAAAATGTTGCAAGCAACGTTATCGTAGATACAGGATCTTCAGTAAACCTCCTTAATAAGTCGGTTTTGAAAGAAATCCAAAAAAAGAATCCAAACATCATGGTACAATCCTCACATAAGAAAGTCTTTCCGTACGGAACAAATACCCCTCTGGAATTAATCGGTGAATCCGAAGCCCAAATCACAGCAAGTTCAGATACAACAACAGGTACATTTCTCGTCACAAATACGAACAGTACATGTCTGATCAGCTACCAAACATCCACCGATCATGGATTACTCAATCTGAAAGTTTGTTCTGTCTCTGTCGATCATCCTGATCCAGATGTATCAGCAGTATTAAATAAGCACAAAAAGGTATTCGAAGGAATGGGTAATCTCAAAGACAAAGGAGTTAAATTGGAAATCGATCCCGACGTCCAGCCAGTCGCTCAAAAAGCAAGGCGTATTCCGTACAGCATGAAAGATCAAGTAAATAGAAAGCTTCGCGAAATGGAAGAACATGGTATAATAGAGAAAGCAGAAGGAGCAACACCGTGGCTCTCATCGCTGATTGCGATACCCAAGAAAGCAGGAGATGTTCGCTTGGTCCTTGACATGCGAATCCCAAATCAAGCACTGGTTCGCCGCCGCGTCCAGATGCCTACAGTTGATGACATCCTGCACAAAATGGAAGAATCAGAAATTTTTACGGAAGTTGACCTCTTGCAAGGGTATCTGCATTCTGCAGATCACCTTGGCAGACGAATCTCGCCATATCACCGCTTTCCCGACGCCAGATGATGGTCCATACAGATTTAAGCGATTGATAATGGGTGCCTGTCCATCTGGAGAATATTTCCATGAAGCAATCAACCAGGTCATCAAACAAATTCCCAATTGCCAGAATATATCCGACAACATACGGTTATAGTCGAAGCATGAGAAAGAGCATCTCAAACAGCTAGACCAGCTTCTAGGAACACTCGAAGAAAACGGAATCACTTTGAAGTTTGCGAAATGTTCATTCGCGGTGCAACAAATCAATGTTTTTGGTCACATAGTCTCGAAGAAACAGGGCATTTTTTAACTATATAACTGGGGGGGGCTTTGCCGCCCCCCCCCCTACCAGCCCCCATGGTGGTCCCCCACTCAACCATTCTGACCCCCCCCAGTCAAAGTCCCTTTTCTCTAAAATATAAGCAAAACATGGAATTTAGAAGGGAGGTTTGATATTCTAGTAACTGAAATTTGCTTTGTGAATCTTATGTCCTGTCTTTTAACTTTATTTAGTGCTAAACATTGTGTTGTAAATACCTTATTAGTTTTAAACATTTTCCAGTGGATTGCATTTCCCAGACCCTGTAGATTTGAGTTGTTGGAAGGCTCGGTAAACAAGTTAGTGACTGCAGGGGGCGTAGGAAGCAGGGGGAAACGGGCTCCCAACCCTGTGTTTTATAAAGGGGTATAATTTTTTCGAAACTAGAAGTATTTGAAATTGTATATATATATATATATATATATATATATATATATATATATATATATATATATATATATATATATATATATATATATAATCGATATTTTGATACTGACAACATTTCTCGTAATAATCCATCCTGACTCACAGATACTAGCATAGACTCACAAATCATAATGAAAGAATTAATGAAAGGGCCTAACAAAAGAGGTAGAGAAGACTTTGAAAATGCCATTTCCGACGATTTAGAGACACAAAATTTTCAAAATTTCCCCGCTCTGTGCCAACCATGGTGGGGCTTTGTGGGAGTCAGGCTCCCTAAGTTTATCAAGCTGGCTCCCTGAATGACCAAGTTGTGGTATCTACATAAACATATCATGCAAGTATTTCACTGAAGGTTCAGTCTATCTACAGCATAATGTAATGCTGTATATCCAAAACTCTGTTTCAGGAATTGCAGGAATTGCAGTCATAGGGGTAGAAAAATACAAAAATGTTCGGGGGGAGAATACCCCCAGACCCCCCTACTATTAAATGCGATACCACACCAAACTTTTTGTTACTAACAACCATCTATCATTTCTCCACACTTGGTATAGTATGGTCCCTTTTTGTAGATGCCCCCCCCCCCCCCCG